TTCAAATCCCAGCCCTGCCCCACAAGTACTGATCTGGACTATTGGCTAGGTGTCTGAAATCTAGGCCTTGGTTTCCTGTTTTAGAAGATGAATATATATAGCTATAATGGGCATTATTGGGTTCATTGACAAAAGGGTAAATTATTATATCAGCATTAATTATCCTGACATGGATAACTCAGCTGTGGTTCCCTAAGAAAATGCCCTCGTGTATAGGAAATGCAAACCATGATGTGTGTAACTTACTCTCAAATGGGAAAAAAATACAACCTATGGATATAGACATAGTATGCAAATGGAAAGGCAGAAGTGACCCAATGTTAGCAGTGGCTGAATGGGGTGAAGAGCACTCAGTACAAGAAGCCCCTTACTAAGTTGCTTTAGATGGTGATGGGAAGAGGTCCCCTCGCCCAGATAAGCAGCATGCACAAGGGTGTAGTGACCACAGGTGCAGGCTCACAGCAGGCCCTGATGTGTCATCTGTAGGAGCTTGCTGAAGCCCCAGTCATCCAGGGGTAAGGGACTTCCACTAGGTCCCTATCCTAAAACCATAACCACAGGGAATTCAAGGAATCCAGCGCTTCCCTTCCCTCCAAGGCCAGTTTGTCAAGTAAGGCAGCAGATTAGGAGAAGGAAATTTTTAAACAAATCCCATCCACACTGGGGGAGTTGACATGTTCCTGGCATTCGCCCCTGGTGTGAGGTTGTCTTGTGGCTTTGCCAGCTATGGGATTTGGAAATGGAGGCCTAGTCTTTCTGGTATGAGCAGCTGGGCACAAGGGGGCCTCTGAGGCTTCTCACAAGCACAACTCTCTGTGGAAGATTCTGCTCCATTTCTTGCCTGCTGATCCCATTGCTGTCTTCAGTTGCCGATAGAAACAGTGGCAGTGCCGCCATTGTGAAAAGTGGTTGTTGGGGGGAGACTCAGGGCTAGACTTGCAGGTGTTCCTTCCTCCAGACTTTGCCACCAAGGCTGCCCTGTGAAAAGCACTTGGGGAGGGTGCTTTTCCTTCCCGTGTGGGTGCTAGGAGCATTCTACTATAAAGAGGGGTCTTAGCTGGTGGTGTGGAGACAGCTGGAGCAAGAGGCCAGGCCACCGTGAGGACCACCTGTTTCTGATGACTGCAGGGAGCCTGGCAGGCCGCTCTGGGTCTGCAGTGGGAAGGGGAGTACCATGTCCTGCCCTCTTCCCTATGGTAAGAGCAGCCCTCCATGCCCACTGCCCTAAGAACCCAGACAGCTGAATACCAGGGTACAAGTAATGTGTCCCCTGCCCTGCCTGCTCACAGCCCTTCATTGGTCTCATATGAGAGCCGTCTCCAAGATGGCACCTACTGTCTCGACCTCCTGGTATTCATGCCCTTGTGCATTTTCCTCCCACAAGGGATCTAGGCTGGCCCAGTGGAACCAGTAGATGGTGGAAGTGGCTTGGGGTGAATCCCAAGTCAAGGTTAGGAGGAGCCTTACAGCTTCTGCCTGAGTCGTTCCGGAATGCTCGTGCTTGGGACGTTCCCTCGCAGATCTTAGCCGCCATGCTGTGAGAGGACCAGATGCCCTGGAGAAGCCGTGGGTGGTGCCCCTGTCAGCACTTGGGCATCCAACCACAGCTCCATGAGAGACCACAGTGAACTCAGAACCACAAGGAAGAATGATCAATGGTCGCTCGAAGCCGCTGAGCTTGGAGCAGTTGATAATCTGGAACGTGTGGATAGCCAGAGGATCCAAGTCCATGACCAGGGCCCAGGAGTCGGCTGGTTTCTCCCAGTTGGTGTCCAACTCTACCCCCTGTTATCATGCCAAGTTCTCTGGCTTTTCCCCAGGGTGGAAGACCCAAATGTGGTTTAACTCCAGAGGCTGCTGAATGACAAGCCTAGAGGTAGCGAGGGGCGGTGCAGTGTGTGAATACTTGCATTCATCTTCAGAGAACAAGACAGGCCGTGCCGGCTCTTTTTCAATAGAATGAGTGCTCTCAGAGGTAGAGGCTGACCTTGTTCATCATCGTGTCCCCCAAAGCCTCACTCTTACCAGGCACGAGTTCCTCTGCATGGTTGAATTAATTTAGCCTGGACCTCTAGGAGGAGGGGGGCTGTGTGGGCAGGTCTTCTGGTCCGGAGAAATCTTTTGAGAAGCCTTCAGTACAGGCCAAGCGCCCTGCTGTGACCGCTGCCTCTCCCTGTCGCTCAAATGCCCAGGAAGGGCCTGGGGTCCCCCAGAGAGTGCGTATGCCATGGCCCCTGGCCTCAGGGAGCACTTACCATTGACACAGCAGGTGGTTGACAGAACTCTTGTGGCCGGTGCTGCCCAAAGCGACACCAGCGAAGATAGAGCAGAATTAAACAGAGCCACCAGCCCTGTTCGCTGAGAGGAAGAGTAGGTGGGTTTGTTTAAAATACTCCCATTACAGTCAGTTAACCTTTATGTTCCCTAAATGAAAATTGTATAAACCTGAAATTTTCGTTGATCAGGTTGCCTAGGAACCAGCAGCAGGTTTTCATAAGACAATGGAATAGATTGTCACCGATAGGGCTATTAGGAAGCAAGCTGGTTAGCGGTATTATTCCCCATCCTGGTGTTGGCATTAGGTAATTATCTCTCTGCCTGTGCAGGGCACGCCCACCTTCCCAGGCTGGGGCAGGTTCATGCAAATAAGATTCCTCAGCTGCCTTTCTCTCTCTGAATCCCTGGAGTCCAGGAGCAAATCACCACCCTTGGGCTTATAAAAGAAACCTAAAAGAGCCAATCTGGTGAATTTTATTTATTTTTAATCACCTTTCCTTCTTGTTCCCCTACTTGCAGCAATAATACCCTAGTAGCCCTATCAGTGACAAGCTATTGCATTATCTTATAAAAACTTGGAAAATAAATAACCAAAAAATTTACAGTGGTAACTTTTATTTAAAAGGCCATCCTGAGACACTTCAGTATGTCTTTTTAGTATTTTTTTCTCCATTATATCCATTTTTTTGTTGTCCACAAAGTCACGGTAATTTACAATTACAAATCAATCTCATCTTACCGTAAGGGTGACCAGCTGTCCTGGTTTGCCTGGAACTAAGGGTTTCCTGTATCCGTTCTGTTTTCCAGTGTGCTTTTCTATAGCTGTGTGGCCTTCTATCAGTGTGGATGAGCCAAAATCAGCTTAACCAATTTTTTCAGAACTTTTGGGAGATTGTTTAAATTACTATTATAACTGATACTTCTGGTGAACAGCCTCATCCATGTGTGCAGTATAGATTCCTACAAGTAGGATTGTTAGGTTAAAGAATGTGCACATTTATAGGTTTTGATGTATCATTTTCTGATATGTATCAGAAAAATATGTTCCAATTCCTATCCCTGTTCTCTGTACCTTCATGATCTCTTACTCAAACAGTCCTTTATCACTGCCAATCTGATAGGTGAAAAAATGTCTTATTTGGAGAATGTATGCTTCTTTACTCTTGTGGTCACTGTCAATTTGTAAATTTCCTGTTCATGTCTTTTACCCATTTCTCTTTTGGATGCTCATCTCTTCTCATCTCTTAATTACTCTTTGTATTAACCACATTGGTCATTAGTCATGTGAACCATTTTTTTAAACAATATATACTGCACACAGTTTAGCTAGCTCTTGACATCTCAGGGATGCTCTGAGCAATAGCAGTCTTCTGAGTCACAGCAAAACCTCATATCTCTTATACTAAGTGTAGTTTTTGCTTCTATACCATATGTCCCCAGACTGCTTTTTTTTTTATGGGGGAGAAAGGGAGTTGATGGAGATGGAACCCAGGGACGCTCTACCACTGAGCTATATCCCCAGCTCTTTATATTTTTTATTTTGAGACGGGGTCTTACTAACTTGCTGAAACTGGCCTTGAACCTGTAATCCTCCTGCCCCAGCCTCCCAAGTCTCTGGGATTACAGGTGTGCACCATTGTGCCCTGCCCGAGACTGCTTTTTAAATGAGATGCCTCGTTCCTTTTTCCTCCGTCACTGCCAGGCTGCATGCTGTTACTGTTGCTATAAGCGTCCCTGCCTTCCTCTGCCATAGCCCATCTTCATCAGCAGTCGAGTGGATCATCAGCTAACAGTGCTTGTTAAATTTGTCCTTAAACTCAAAGAGCAAGTAAGCCCTGAGCAAGGACCTGAGGTGCCCTGGTAAAATGGTGTAGGAACTTTATCAGGCCAAAGCAATATTTGACGAGTCATATTCGTATAGTTTAGGTTGCTAAATTAAGTGACCTCTGGGTGTGCACTTATAGGAATAAAACATTTTAGAGGCAAAAGATAGAAAAGATGAGTAACTGCTTGAAGGTGTAGGTGGAAAAAAAGAGAGACCCTATAATCCAGATGATCAGGATCAGTGTTTAATCTATGATGGCCCTCAGGGGAGCAGTGATGTGGGTTTTATGGAAATGGCATTATTGCTAACCTAGAAATTTTGAAAGACCTGGGTTCTAGGCCCCCACCTCCTGGAGATGGCTTTCAACATGATACCCAAGCCTTCCAGTGCTTAGCTTTCTGATCTATGAGATAGAGCTAAGACTGAGCGGCCTGTCTACTTTGTAAGAGAGAGAATCGGATGGCTTGATGGGAAGATCCCTGGCCTGAAGAAACATCAGAGGAATTTGTACAGAGGACCCAACGACCGCGAGGGCTGGTGATTATTGCTGTTTGCTCACAGACATATCCCTCAGCCATTGGTGGCCTCCTTAACTGTCATGCTTTCTGCACAGGCTTCCATCTGAGCTGGCCTGTGTGTGTATCTTTAGCTTATGTCCTTGCTGCCCTTCCAGAACCTAATTTCATCCTTGTAGGTTTTTCCAAAGCAGGATTTGCACAAGTGGTGCGTTTTCTTAAATATTTATTTTGCAGGCCATTTACTCACCTCGGCAAGGCTATTTTTACAGTGAGTAAGGAGCAAGGCTAAAAATAACTTCGCTTGTAACCAGATCGGTTCTGCATTTGACATTTACGTGGAATTCATTTGCATCTCATTTGTTCGCCTCTCTGTTTAACAGGTAGAATGTAAGAAAGCTCAGCCGAAAGAAGTCATGTTCCCACCTGGGACAAGAGGCCGGGCCCGGGGGCTGCCTTACACCATGGATGCGTTCATGCTTGGCATGGGGATGCTGGGTGAGTCTAGACAAGTGACTGGGGGTCACAGTGGACCGGGAGGGCTATGGAGACCTGTAGGCTCACCTGGGTCCCCTATCTGTTGGGCAGACTGTCTGAGCCTCAGTTTACCTGTCTAAGCCTGTTTTCTTATATATAAATGAGGATAATCACTCCCCTTCAGGACAATCATGATGATCCGATGAGCCCACCTGTCAGTCATCCTGCCCCAGCCGGCTCATAGGGTACTTGATACTGTTTCCTCTTTTTTCCACCCTTTCCTCAAAAGGAGAACAGGTCTCTCTCTTCGGGAGTTCTTCAGACCTTTGGGCTCCTGGTGGGCTTAGCTTGGGTGGGCTCAGGCTACATTTGCTAAAACTTAGGAGAGGAGGTGGTGAGGGTAGGCGATAATCCTGTCTATTTAAATGATTAACATTTTCCTCTTGGGATATCAAAATTTGCATTTAAATGGATGTTTTAAATAGCCTGTTTTACTCTTTATTTGCAAAAAAAAAAAAAAAATGATGAAAGACAAAGTGTGTTTGTTCTGACTAAAAATGATCTCTCCTGGCTTTTAGAGAAATTGAGTTGCATATTATGCCCCTTTCCTTAAAGGTATCTCTGTCCGTCCTGCGTAGATAATTGAAAATCTCACCGCTTAAATGGCATGAAAGATGGAGAAAGCCGGGGCATGCGTAATGGTGTGGGTCGCAACAATAATTAGAAATTTCAAGGCGAGAGAACGGTATTTTTGTGCAAGTTATTGTGTGTCGAGAAAATACTAATTAAATGGGATAAATGGTAGTTAATGGTAAAATTCCATTCAGGCACATGAGCGGTCTAGTTTTAATGGGTTTTCCTTTGGTTTGGCTTAGAGTCCCTCTTCTATATTGTTTGATAGGCTCTTTATGTATTTTCAGATTTGTTGCTGTTTAAATCATTCTTGTCTTAGTTTTAAGTTTATAAAACTTTTCTTAATCTTATAAAGAATCATATCTCCTTGTCTGAGAAAATAACAAGGGCAGGCATAGCTATTTTGATGAACTTGAAAAAATGGAGAGGGATGCCATCAAAAATATTAAAAGTGGCCAGGAGGCTACTTTTTCTGAAATTGATTTTTTTAAGATTTAACGGACTTTCCAAGAAAAAATTCTATTATAATTCTCTAAAAAAAATTGGCCAGATGATTCTGAAAACTTATTTTGGAAGAAGAAATAGGTGAGAATAAATACAGAGAAATGAGAGTTTGGTTAAACTGGTGTTTAACCAAATACCAGAACATAACACAAAGCTGCGATAATTAAAGCTATGTGGTACACAAGACTGTATCCAACTTAGGATGACTTGACTTAGGAATTTTCTACTTTGCAATGGTGAGGAAGCAGTATAGATCCTTGGAAACTATGCTTTAGATTTTGAACTTTGCTCTTTTTCTGGGCTCGGCATCTGTCAAGGTGATGGGGGCAGTAGTGAGTGACAGCTCTGGCTGGACTCGCTGTCTGTCAGGCTAGGAAACAGTGGAGACTCCGCATGCTGTGTTGTTAAGCCTGGGTGTTCAGTAGGTTAGGTGTATTCAATACATGTTCAACTTACAATGTCAGGATGTAACCCCATCGTAAGTCGAGGAATGTATGGAAATACGAAAACTTGTTGATTGAAAAAGTTAAAAAGCCTAAAATAAATATTTTCTATGTGAGAGTAATTGTTATTTGTTAAAATCAGTGAGAACTATTTCCCGGTTGCAATATGAAAATTGCTTAGCTCTTGCTTTAAAAAATAATTTTTATTTGGTCTTCATCTGATGTCATATGTCAGAAACACTCCACATGAGGTACTGATTTTCAACGCTGAAATCAGACTTTAAGAGAAAAAGAGCTGATGGCATTACCATCTGCTGACTTTGGGAGTCTTGAATTTGAAATGAGCATAAAGGCCTTAGGGCGTGCATAGGGGATTTTCTGGGGTCCAGATCTTCAGACAGTGTTCCACCTAAGTGGGACTTGACCGTCTTAGCATGCTGGAAAAGAAGGCACTGGTTTTTCTTCAGGGAGAAGCAAAGGTGCCAAGCAAAGCCAGCTCCATTTATGTAACTGATAAAAAGCAAAAGCCCAGCCACATCCAGCATCCCCAACTCTGAGCCACCTCTACACCGACACCCTGGCCTGAGTCCCCACATGGATGAACACCAGGGCTTCATCGTGGGAGCCTAGGTAGAGCAGGAGGCATTCACCAGCAGGTTGTCTGTGCTCCCCGACTGCAGGCCCCACCCTGGGCTGGAGTGGGATGCTGGGGTTGAACCCAGGGCCTGTGCATGGTAGGCATTTGTTCTGCTTCTGAGCTGTGTCCCCAGCCCTCACCCGGGTAATAATTTCCCAAGGCTCCCTAATACCTTATTAATAACAGCTCCCAATTTGAGTACATACTACTACAACTTGGTGATTAGAGGACACACATTTTTGCCTCCATATTTTAAACACTTCTGTGGACCCATTTGCAATCCATGTGATAAGATAGCATCATGCAGTTTAATTACCAGCACGTTCTTTTCTTTCTGAATGATACGTGAAGGTGTATCTTATTAGTCATGGCATCTAGGATCTGATAAAGTCCAGTAGTCCATGGTTAAAAACTTATGTGACTTGTGTTGTGGCAGTTGCAGCCTCTTCCTCCAGCCCCAGCCTCCACCCAAGGAATTTGCCAGAAGATGGCTACTCAGGGATGATCCAGTGATCCACATGCTAGACTCCAGGCAGCACCAGCCCCGAACCTCTTGAATTCCCAGACACTATATGAGGTGTCCAGATGCCTGCAGAGCAGAGTCTCCTTAGAGGTCCCAAAATGTGACCCAGGCCAGGAACCAGCTCAGCCTAGCCTAGTTACAGGAAGAGTGCATCTGGGGAAGGTACTCGCGGTCTGGCTGGCCCATCACATCCCCAGGCAGCCCAGCACCTCCCACCAGCCTCCTCCAGCGCTCTCCCTGTAGCCTCCCTGGCTGCTCTCAGTAAGCACAGTGGTTCAGCTCCGAACTGGGCCTCTCAGCTTGCTAGGCCGTGATGCTGCCACCATTGTGCTGCAACTAAAGCCTTTAAGCCCCTCATCAAAGATGGCTTCCCTTGGCTTCTTCCCTCTATAGTGGCAGTGTGACTTCAGCAGAGTCTAATCCTTGGGTAGGGTGCCTGACGTCCATGGATCACACCAGTCACCACCTCCATGGTGTACTGTTCGCATTGTCACTCCTGGAACCGGTGCTGTCACCACCCTCAACAGTGTGGCTGATGAACTTGGCTCCTGCAGAAAAACATGTTTTTTAAAATTCATTAATGAATGGAATGAGATGAGATATCAGGGCCTTAACCTCCTTGGGAGGGATTGTTTATTTTTTTGTTTATTTATTTTTTGGCAGTACTAGGGATCGAACCCAGGGGTACGTTACCACAGAGCTACATCCCCAGCCGTTTTTCTTTTTTCTTTTTTTTTTTTTAATTTTGAGATAGGGTCTCACTGAGTTACCCAGGCTGGCCTTGATTGTGATCTTAAGTCAAACTATGAACCATTAAAATTTATTTCTTCAACAAATATTTCCTGAGTCCCTATTAAGGGCCAGGACACCATTCTACACACTTAGTGTACAAGCAGGGAACAGAGCCTCTGATCCCAGGACGCTGACATCCTGGTGAGAAATCTGAGACCACCAGTATACTGATCTATAAATGACTTGGACTCTGTTGAACTAATTTACAAATATCCTTCACAAGATTTCCTCCATGCTTTGGGAGGCCTCATGAAAGGGGGACCGATGAGGTGTAGTTGTCCAGTTATTCATTTGCGATCTCTCTTGATATGGCTGCAAATATCCTCTGGGAAAACCTCCACCGGTTTGGGTTTCAGCTTTCACAGCTTTTGATAGAATTGTGGAATAATCAGCCCAATGGGAATTTCTTACAAAGAATGTAGGCGAGAAGAGAAGACAAGGGTCATCCTAGGCCCTGTCCCCTGCCCTGGAGCCAGACAAAACCAAAAGCCACTGTGCCCCTTAGAGAAGGTGTTTCTGCAGCCCCTGAGACTGTCCCACTGTCTTGCAGCCGCAGCGATATCCACAGTTATCTGAGAGTCTCCAGTTTTTCTTAATGAAAGTGGACTTAATAAAAGCAAACACTTGATTGTTGATATATCTGATTCCTCTTGGCCTTCTCTGCCCTCCGCCCCATAATCCCACTGCTTTTAACTCTCTTGGCCTCGTTGGGCACATGCTATTTATTTAACATGTTGGTAGAGAAATAGCACATTGCTGAAGCCCTGCAGAGCAGCTTCACCCTGGCAGGCCCGGGCATGGAGAGATACTGTTGATGGGCTAACCCTTTAGCCAAAAGCATTCTTAGGCACACTTACAGCGGGAAGCACCCATGAAATCCCAGCCCAGTGTTCCCCAACATTAAGCTTCATCTGAAGTAAAAACAAAATGTAAATAAGTCATCCTTGATTGAGTAGGGCTGAGGAGCCACGATCTGCTGGCATTCGATAACACATCAGGAGACCAGCAGGAACTTAGTCACACCTCGAGACTTGTTTATAATTTCAGGTAGGATTTGTCTTTCCTAAAATTATCTGCTTGGGCCATTCCCAAGTAGGTCTCTGTTTGTTCAGCTGTTTTCTGGTGGACAGAGGAAGTTAGTTCAGAATTGTGCTGCTCATCACTCTAGAGCAGTGCGGTCTAATCCAGCTGTGATGGTGGGAACCTCGTATGTCTGCACAAGCCAACGCTGTGGCCACTAATCTGATGTGCATCCTAGCTGTTGCACTTCAGATGTGACTTATGCAATGAAGGAATTGATGTTTTCATTAGATAAGAGTTTTAATTAAATTTAAATTGCATAGCACAGGTCTGGAGGAGCCCCTGCCACTCAGGATGATTCCAAGGGCCAAGCGTCTTTATATAGACTTTGGCTTTTATGTCCTTGCCTAGGAAGAACTCTGGGTACTTGATGTTTTGTCTGCCTGCAGACCTCATGGAGTTGATGTGGTGCTCCAGGCAATGTTCCGGACGTCATACGGCAGATGTCACACTGTGGCAGTTCCCTGGATAAACAGCCCTAGTCTCTGGTCTCTTTCAAGTCAATGGCTTGACAGGAGCAGTTTTCCATGACTGAGTAGCTGAGTAGCAGAGCCCAGAACAGGATGAGTCATAGAATCATCTAGAATACAAGCATTTCTTCTTCAAGATTTGGAGCAAAGATCTAGAGCCACAATCTTGAAAACCTTCCCTGCATTCCCAAAATGAGTCGTCCCAAAAGGAGCCCCTGGGCACAGCCAAGTTCTGTTGTTGATTGCTGATTTTGCTGCCACAATGGAAAGCCGATCTGCAAGAAAGGTGGTCATCCAGGCAGAAGGCTTGGTTTTTTTACTTTAGTGACAAGAGATAATTACTGTGGGATTGATCAGGCGGCCAGAGTACTGGAGCAAATAAATTGTGCAGTGGCCAGTGCGGGAGGGGCCCGGCTGCTAATGGAAGTGGCGGCTGGGTCATCCCGCTGTAATGGGGCTTGATGGAGCATCCATGGGTCTGCAGTAATGTGCTATTGATATGCAGCCAGCCAATTTCCCCTGTGTGGCTGGGGCTGTGAGCCGCTGGAGCAGAGCTGGGCTGCACAGCAGTAAATGAAGAGGAAAATTGAAGTAATGTTGTATTATAAATTTATAATTTCATCTGCCTGACCTCGAGGGTGTTCAGGGATGGGGGCGTGGAGATGAGATCCCCCACTCTGGCAGGTGCCAAATTCTCATCTTCCTCCTTCAGGAGACGATGATATGGACCTGTCTGGAAAGAGTGGGGTGAGGCCCAAAGTTGGGGTGAACTTGACCACACTTTTCTTTTTTCCTGTTGGAGACTTTTGGGTATGCCAGGAAGAAAGCATGTTTTAATCAGGTCGTGCGGGTGGCCTGAGTACAGGGAGGCACTGGCCCTTCTACCATCCTCTCCCACACCAAGGGAAGGTGACACATGGGCTTATGCTTTTGCTGTCAGATTAACACTAAAATATTTAAGACCCCCAGCTCTGAAGTTAGAAGCAAAGGAGCCATTTTTCATTAGGAAAGCCCTTAGGCAGCAGTGATTTGGCTGTATGCATATAATCCGTTTATCAATATTGTTGAAATAATGGTATAAGAAATCTAGTGCTGAAAGATCTGATTTGATAGCAGGTGATTAATTTGGAAGAGAATTGAATTGCCCAGCCATGAAATAAATAACCAAGGAAGGAGTCATTTTGCGTGCATCTATTTAAGGCATCTAGCTCTGGCTACTGTCCCTTTTCTTCTCTTACTGCTCCTTCAGGACCTGAGCTCAGGGTCCCCCTGGGCTCCTCCCTTCAGAGAACAGTCAGTGCAAAGCTTCTGGGCCATTCCTTCTCATCTGTGCATGAAACACAATGCACTGAGAAATAGCGGCCCAGGGGCAGAACAAGTAGCCAGGTCCCGTTGGAAGACAGTTCACTGAGCCCATGGGTTTGATGTGACTACAGATTTGGAGAGGCTCTGACTGAAGCAAGGCAAAGACACCATAATTGGTCTCAGTTGAGAATTTGTGTATCAGTGCTGCAGGGGACCTGCAAGACTTTTCTACAGGTGGCAAAACTCAGGCTCCAAAAGAAAAGGAAAGACCCATATTTGTGTCAGGCTGGTACAACAAAATTCTATAGACGGGGCAACTTGAGCAGCTTTTGAACAATAAACATTTATGACTGTTCTTGGAGGCTGGAAAATCCACAGTCAAGTCAAGGGCCCATTCTTCATAGACAACACTTTTTGCTGGGTCCTCACTTATTGGAAGGGGTGAGGGTCTCTGGGGCCCAAAAGGGCCTCAGTCCCATTCATGATGCTCTACTCTGTGACCTAACCATCTCAGATCCTAATACTGTCATGTTAAGGGTTAGAATTTCAACATAGAAATTTAGGGAGACATGAGCATTCAGATCGTAGTAATCCCCAAGAGCATGGTCAGGCCAGAGGCAGGAATGAATCTGTCCCCTGATTTCCAGACCTGCAAGAACCTGTTCTGGGTTGGACGACAGGTCCTCTGGTCACAGGCAGAAGCCACAACACCAACATCCACAGGGAGGAGAGGGACAGTGGGTCCTGTCCCAGGACCTCTGAGGCACAAAAACACTGAATGGGCAGCAGGAAGACCAGTCAAGTCTTTGACTCATGATGGCAGAGTGAAGAAAGATGGAATTTGATAAATGATCCTTTTCCTTAACCCTGGTTTTGCAAGGTCAGAAAGTGTTTGGTGTGACATGTAAGATTCACTGAGGAGGAGGAGGATGAGACCCAAGGGCTTGCGTTGAGGGGTGTTGTTGAAGGGTCAAACAGAAGGGCCGACATGTTTGAAGTGGTCACACTGGAGAACCTGGAGTCTGTCCTAAAGCCACCCATCAAAGTGACTTCTCACCAGCATTTTGGTGGCAGACAACAAGCAGCGAACTATAAGCAACAAAGGAGATTCTTGGAAGGTGCATGGGCAGTGCTCCCAGATTGACAGGAAGGTAGAATAGGACTCAGGAGACAGGCAGGAGTAGGGGAGCTATTGGTCAAAGCTCCAGCCCCAGCCAGTGGTTCAGCCCAGGAATGACCAGGTCAGGCAACCACCGTTTCCACCTCTGGATGCTGGATCCTGCAGCTGTGCCAGGATAAATTCTGAGCCACCCCCTTCTTTGCCCACTGCTCAGTAGCAGATCCCAGGGAAGACTTCCACTGGCCCAGGGCCCAGTTCACCAGCTGCCTCCCAGCCACCTAGCTCCAAGCTGGAAGGAGGCATCAGGCCTTCACCAGGTCAAGAGGTGGAGGCTCAGGTCCTGGGCAGCCTGAAAACAACCACAGACATCCACCTTGGAGGACAAAGCAAAAGTCTGGCTAGTGGTTATGGGGAGCCGTGGTGACATTTTAAGAGCATGAATGACCTAAGTTGATCATACACCCAAGTGGAGGGAAGTAAAGGGAACCTGGTGGGGCGGGGACAGGAGATGGCCCCAGATCTCTTGTGGCCAGTGAAACCATTTTCACTGGTCTCCAGTCCAGGGAGGCTGCACCAACCTTCACTGTAGCCAGAGTGAAGAGGCAGAAATATGAGCAGCAAAGTCCTGGTGCTAAGGTGACATCTCGTGAGGGGGTTAGTAACACTGGACAAGGTCCCACCTGCACCAGGACTTACCAGCAGGGTTTTCTCTGCACCCCATGCCCAGCCCAGCAGCAGTTTCCCTAAGTACCCACCCGCTGACAGTCACCTGTAGATCATCTGCTGAGACGAGGGTCTGGCAAAACTGACCACTGTGAAATGCTCATGAAGACACGTGGCCTGAGGCTTCCGAGTTGGGGCCATACTTTGTGGTCCACATGTTGACATGGCCAACCCCCCTTCTCAAGGCGCTCTCAAAGACACTGATGCCACGGTGGAATGTCCAAGCTGGTTAAGTGGGTCTCTGGGACCCTCCCTCCCCCAGGCCAGGGCTCATTAAGCCCAGCATTTTCCACAAGCACAGGGTTGATCTCGAAGTTTATTCACTAAACTGTGACCCCTGGGTACCCGTGACCTGTTTGGTGCTGGCCCTGCTGTCCACTACCCTGGGAAGAGGCATTACAAGGACTTTAATCTCCTACTGTCAACAGCTTTTAAAGTAAAGTACATTGAGGGTAAGCTCTCCAAATGTCAGAGCCAGGCGCAGGCCCCATGTTTGGTGCTAATGTATGACATTTACTCTGCAGGTTGGAGAAAGTGCATGGGCTTTGGGAAGCCTGGCTGCCCAAATATGGGTTAATTACCAGCAGGCCGACAGCAGCACCCCCAGCCACAGGAGAGAGGTGGCCCAGGTCCTGGGTAAAGACCTCCCCAGAGACAAATCATTCCGCGAAGGAAAATAACTCAGGCTGTTCCTTATGACCATCCACCCTGGGAATGTACCCAGCTCGGAGGCAACTAACAGCTCGCTCTTTCTGTGTTCAAGGTTATCCCAACTTTGTGGCAACCTATGGCCGAGGCTACCCCGGATTTGCTCCTAGCTATGGCTATCAGTTCCCAGGTGAGTTACTTGGGTGCCCGGGGTGTTGGAAACTTGGGAGGTGGGCTGCATTTTGGGAGGAGGAAGGAGAATCCTAAAAGAACATGACACATACGTGCCTCCATTGAAGAGATGCCCTATGTGTATTGACTTCTGAGTTCACTGGAGTCCAGGGTCAAGGGGCCTCAGAATTTCTGATGAACTGGAGTGCTTCATTGGTGCTGGGTATTTGAGAATAACAGCTTTTAAATGGAAAGGAAGAGACCAAACTCCCCTTGCTCCTTCATCTGAAGCCTGTTCGGGTCTCTTCTCCCTGGGTACTGAACTCCAGGCCCAGGATTTTCTTTCACTCCCACACCCTGTTGCCTGCTCCCAGTCCCTGCATCCACGTGCCTGAGGTCTGACGTCTCCCACCCTTCCTTCCTTCCCCCTCTTCTCCCCCAGCTTGGCTCTGGCCACCGAGGCTCCGGAGCCTTCTGGAGTATGTTGGTGTTATTCTGCTGGGGTTAGGGCCTGCTGTCCATCCTGGGTGGGGCTAGGTGGAGTCCCCTTTCCTCTCTGTGGGCATCAAAAGCTGGAGGCAGGGTGCACGGTGATGCCCAATCACACATCTGGGCTGCTGTGGCTTGAGGTAGCTGGCAGGCCTGGGGCCAGCCTGGGGGGGCATGGTCAATGGGGAGGGGATCGGGAGGATGCTGAAGAAGTGATATCTTATGGGGCTTTGTTTTTCCCTGCAGAAATGAGCCCACCTTCCCCAGTCTCAGGGTCTAGATGAGAGTATATCGGGGTGCCTGAGGGTGTAAGGGAGGAGGTCAGCTGAGGAGTGTAGAGGAGCTCGGCACAGTCTTGTCCTCTGTGGGCTCTCTGTTGAAGGGGAGGTGCCACCCAGGAACTGGACATCTGGGGGAGTTTCACTCCGGGCTTGTCGCCTTGCCTTGACTTGGCCACCTGGGAGCATCAGGCTCCAAGCGCAACAGGGGACAAAGGGAGCAGAGATGTGACCTGGGTGGGCTGCTCTGAGGCTGACGGGCAGGAGGGCAGAGCGCCACTGGGGAGGGGGTTGCCCTCAGCCCACACTTGTGGGTGGGGAGAGGGGCTGAGGATGGAGGCATTTAGGACACTTGGAGCCACACACTCCAACCCAGAATGGAAGCCCAGGCACTTGTCCTGGCTGTGACACCAACTAGCCTGGTGTCAGTGGCAGGTCATTCAGCTTCTCTGGGCCTCACTTCACTTCTCTGTGAACAAAGGGTTGAGAGGGGTCTTTGGGCCTGTGGAGGCCTCCAACTGTGTGGGTCACAGGCCAGGAGAGGGCTAGAGCAGCAGGATGTCTGGGGTCAGGTGTGTAAGTGGGTTGGCTCCCTGAGGTGTCCCCTGGGGCCAAGGGAGTTTCCCCGTCTGGGAGGGACCCTTAGCAAGAATCCTTGGCCTCCCGGAGGAGGCCTTCCCTGTAGCCTCCCTATAGCAGAGACCTTCTGCGTGACCAGGGGCTGAGGGCCTTCAGTAAAGAGGGGCACGGCCCAGAGGCACCGCCAGGAGAGGAGCCAGGCTCAGGCAGCACTGTTGTTAGGTTTTCCCCTGCAGGTGGGGACATTGAGGCACAGGGAGATAGCAAACCCTGTCCAGCAGGGTCCCTGTGAGCCAGAGGCAGGGCCAGGACTTGAAGCCAGGCAGTGTGCCCACACTCCACCATCTCTCTCACATCTGTTTGCCCACAATGGAAACATCAGCCACTGAAATTGAGATTTAAACTAAGCCAAATTCAGTTCCTCAACCACACTGGCCATATTCCAGTTACCCAGTAGCCACATGTGGCCAGTGGCTACCCATGGTATGGATTGGAAAACATTCCCATCATCACAGAAAGTTCTGCAGGACAGTACTGTTCCAGATCTTAACAGAAGAGGTGGTTCCGATGCTGGCATGCTGTCCACACAAACCTGCCCAGCCTCCCCCAGCTCGGCTCCCTGGGAGTGCCATCCTGATCTGTGCTCTTGACACAGCCTGCCTCTCTTCACAGTCGGGTAGCCCTTGCCCCTTAGTGTGCTCCTGGTCCCAAGAGGGCAGAATCAGGAGAACTTAGTGTGGAATCATTTGGGAAACAACAAAGTGGACCCCATGCTAAGGCCCCTGGCTCATCTGAGAGGCTACTCTTGGGGACTCCATGAGGCAGCTTCAGAAAACCTGGCAAGAAACTGTCTCCATGACCTCCATCCCTGGTTCTTCCCCAGACAGACAGGCACACAAGAGTGGCCAGACTGAAGGTGGGCGGATGCAGTGGGCCTCCCTGAGCGCCCAGCCCTTCACCAAAAGCAAAGAAGGCCTTGGAGCTGGGGGTCGAGTGGGTGATGCTCCCAGTGCTCACACTGTTCCAGCTCCTGAGCTAAAAGCACTGGCTGGGTCTGAATGGGACTGGAGGTGGACATGCAGGTGGACATGACTTTGTGACATTGCTCAGCTGCTGCATCACCACCACACCATCCTGACCTGCTGTGGGGAGCCGTTCCCTCTCAACTGCTCAGCTTTCCATGTCTCCATCCTTCCCATTCACACCCTTCTCTTAGCCTAATAACCAGAAAAGGGCCCCCAGTGGCCACAAGTGTGAGCTACCTGCTTCCAGGGAGGGTGAGGGTGTGAGTGGCCTTGACCAGGGAAGTGGTGGCCCAGGGGCCCCCCGTGGTTGAACTGAGCCACCCCCACTCTTGGTGGAGAGCCAGGCCGGTTTCCCACTCCCAGCTCCCACCCTACAGGAGCTGCCCCTTGTAGAGCACTGGCTCTGCTAAAAGTCCCAGGTGCCTCCCCAAGCAGATCCACACTAGCCCCCCAGCCTAGGGGCAGCCCCTGTGCTGCTGCGGTCAAGAGCTTGGTGGGTACTTGCTCCCTCTGACCCCTTCCTTAGCAGCTGGATTAAGAAAACTCTGGAATGTTCTGACCTCCCTCTCTCACCTCTGGCCTCCGTGGCACGGTGCAAAGCAGGGACCAGAACTGGAGCAGCCCAGCCTAACCCTATCTGGTGGATTCTGTTGACCTGTCCCCGTGCCCCAGGAATCCTGTGACTTTGTGACATTGCTCAGCTGCTGCATCACCACCAAACCATTTTCTCTGTGGTCTTCTCAGTATCCTCACTGTGTGCCCAATTCCCACCTCCAGCCCTGCCTTAATGCTGTGTGTGGACACCACGCCCCCAAGCCCCTTCATCCTGGCAGGGCCACGGGAGGCAGCTAGTGAAGAGAAAGGAAAGCAAACCCACCCAGGTCCCCGGGCTGCTGTGGCCTCCACCCTCTGCTGTCACTCACACCAGTGAGCATTTAGGAAGATGCAGTTAATCCTTTTACAAAGCACCTTCCTTTTTACCTGTATTCACCGGCTCCAAATGTCCGTCTCCTCTGGTTGGGGGGTCCACATGTCACTCCTTGCAACACATCGTCCCAGGCCACACCTGTGCCCAGCTTCAGGACTCTGAGAACAAATAGGGTGTTCCAAGGGGGCCAGTGCTAGATGCCTTTATTTGAGTGGGGAGTCATTCTCTTGTGGAAAGGCTGGGTGTCGACCGGTCACTCGGCAGTGTCTCTTCTTCCCATGCAAGGTGTCCATCCCGGCAGCCTCAGGATTGGTGTGCAGTCTGAATTGTGAGGAGTGTGATCAGTGGTCCCCTGGGCCTCCTCTCATTTTGCCCATCCGGGCTTCTCATTTCAGTTTAATCTGTTAATTTCTGTTCTTATTTCACTTTGCAGACTATTTGCCGATTTCACAAGACATTATTTTTATCAACTAGCTCTTAAGAGAGGCATAGCAAATTGGGGTTTGCCACCATTTCTAGAGAGAGGACACAGTCCGGGCCTGGGCCACCCCTGCTGCTGCTAGTGCCCACTGACTGAGACTCTATGTCCCTGCTGCCTGTTGTTTGAATGAATATTCTTTTTCCTGTAATTTAATTCTTAGAAAAGACCTTGTTCCTTCACAGTTTTTTTTTTAACTTCTCCAATCCCCTCCCGTTTGCCCCTGTATGCATTGTGACCAACCCCACCCCCAGCTCCCCAGAATGTAATGGGGCCAAGGGAACTTCTCACAAACTTCATAGAGACTCCTCGGGGGATCCAGGAAGAAGGTGTCAAGTGTTTAAAATAATGACAAAGCAGGCTTGTTGGGACATTTCATGGGGAGGCCCAGAGGGCTGTGGCTGTGTGACTCGGAGCATCTGTGTTCTCTGGTGGGCGTGGCAGTGAGCGCACACACAGACCCCTCTCTGAAAACGTGCAAGAAATGTAATCCGGAAGAGCAACTGTAACAGCTTGTCTGAGTGTCTTCCTTGTTTGGTGGCCAGTCTCTCAGTGTCACCGTAAGAAGCATCCGTCTTTGAGAAGAGACAGTAGGGTTGCCCTGGCTCTGTGTCGGGCATGTGGGTGCCAGTGCACACTGGGTTGCTTCTCTTCAGTCTCCTAGTGGCACCTCCCTGCCTCCCCTGGTGGCACCACTGGGCTAGGACAAGCCAGGGCACTGAGGGCCCACCCTAATCAGGCCGCATCTCAGGGCTGGTACCCCTGATGGTCACCCCCAGAAGGATCTTTTCCCGTGATCCTGAGCCCCCCCCCCCCCCCCCCCCCCTGCTACACACCCTCTCTCCTGGGCTGAAGGCATACAGCTCGGCTGGACCCTCAAGAGTCACCCCTTTGTGCTCCTAGTTTGTGAGAAGTGACCCGTGCGCTTCCATTTGGTGCATCTGATGTGAGCGAATCCATACCTGTGCCTGTCTGTGTCCTTGAGAGCCAGCATGTGCATTTGGCTCATGTCATTAAAGATGCTTGATGTAAAAATTGGTTAGTTTCGTTTTATTTTTTCCCCCGGGCTTTTTCATGAGTATTTTTTTTTTATCTGTGTGGATCTCCCCCTACCCCGCTCCTTATTTTGGTTTGCTATGAATTGCTTTGCTTTGGTGAACTTGTCCTCATGTGCTGGCCTCACAGTGGCCTCACAGCCATTGTGAATTTTCTTCCATCTCTGTAAATAGTTCATCTGTGCTG